AAAAAATGATTATTTGATAAAAATCTTTTTTGAATAAAAAAAGCTCTAGTGATAAAAAAATCGATTTAAAAAATGTTTATTTGATACAAATATTTTTTGAATAAAATCTTGCATAAAATAAAAAATCTGTATAAAATAAAAAACCTCTATTATTAGAAAAAATCTAATTTAAATTCAAAAAATCTTGATTAAATAAAACTAATCCAAATAAAAATAAAAATTGTTTTAAAAGATCTTTATTTAATAAAAAAAATCTAAATAAACAGTTTTAGTCTAGTTTGAAGTTGATATCTCAAAGTGGGGGTGCCAACTTCACCTACCTCTAGTCATAACTAGGGCCCGGATTTAAATGCACTTAAAACCATACAAATATGCTCTAAAAAATAGCCAAAAATGCCTTCAAAAAATGCATTTTACCACAGAAATGACCTTAAAAATGCCATATATTTTTAATATTTTTTTTTACACAAATTGTAATTTATAAATGAGCTATATAATTATTATTTATTAATTTATAATTTTATTAAAAAAACTGAAATTTTCAAATATTGACTGCATGATGTTGACACACTTATGTTTTGGCCGTTTTTGGGGAAATATTATTCATCCTAAATATACCAAAATACATATTAAAATTTATGTAAAATATTAACATTCTAAGTACGCCTATTGTAGTTACTAAATTTTGAGCAAACACAACAAACACACTTAACTTATACGAGCAACGACTGCTATGTAACACGAACTGACCGATTATTTGTTATTTGACCGAATATGGGTGACGCTCCACGGTCAATAATAAATTAAGATAAGATAAAAACTGAATCGAAAAAAAAATTGACAATGTGTATGGAAAAACCCGATAAACCTTCCTAAATATCAATAAAATAATTTATCTTTAGATAATATTTTGAATAGGCTAAATTTTATATCTATATTGAACAAATATGCATCAAAAACCAACAAAATGACCCAATAATGCTAAAAATGCTTTAAAAATGAAAAAGCCACTTAACAACCTACTAATATTTTAATAGGAAAGAGATTATAAAAACATAATGAATGTAATATACTATTTTTTGATGTATGTTAATAATTTATTATTAATGTGTCAATAATTTTATTATTAATAAATAACTTATTTTATGAAACAATATTAATATCAAAATTATAGTATAAAACCTATACAATACTAAATAGATATTACTAAGTAGGAGTGGGCGTTCGAAATTTGCATTACTTTTTCCGAGTTAAACAAACAGAGCCAATAAAGTGGACATGAGCAACTATCGCTATATACAAGTAATTATCGCAGTCTGAACAATGAACACATGCTGTATACATAAATAGATACAATATAATATTATGTTAACTTTTAAATCTCAAAATTTCAAATTACCTGGATTTATCCCGACGCGATCGTAGACTAGCTACTACAGGTGGAGCAATTTTACTTATCTGAGATTATACATTGATACCCAATAATCGATTAATAATTTTTATATTATTATTTCAATAAAATAATACATAATTACACTTACAGTATTTGCAAAAACAGAATGTACTTACTTTCGTTTCCATTGTGTAATTATTATAATATTTATTTATTATCTTAAATAATTAACAATATAATAACACATAACATTAGATACAAAATAAAAAAAAGTTAAACACGATTCACAATCCAACGTCCACTGCTTATAGAATCGACTTCTTCGAGCAAATGCAGATATAACAATGATTATAATAAAATGGTTATTGGACATTAAATTAAAATAATTCCTACGAATTTCTATAAATAAAATATTGTCTGTTTCCGTTTTTAACAATAATATTTCAATACTACATATTATTAAACATATTTGTAGTGTTTATTTTATTTAGATTGCAGACTAGATAATATCATTGATTATAAATAGCATTTATATATAGCATTTATATCAATATAATAATATTTTCGTATAACATTTTTGTCCATGATTTATATTTATATTTGTCATGATTATTGTATTAGCAGTAACCACGATATGAGATACATACCACAAAATTAAATTATTGTGTAATCATACAGTATGATAGGTACTCAATAAACTAATAATCACTAAAATGTTTTTAATAACCCAACATTTTTGAATCGTTTGCACATTTTCAATGCAGAATAATTCATTTATATAATATTTGGTAAAAAATATAATAAATATAAATATAAGAATTTTGTTTCAAACCATGGGAATTAAATTCCTTCAGTTGATAAGTGATAACCACCTATGATGTCTAGTTTTGAAAATAAATAATTCAAAATATTTTTTTAGTATAAGACCCACTTTGGAATTTTTATAGGTAACTACTATGAAATTCCTTTTTAAGGAATTATAGTTTATCCATAATAGCAAATTAAAAATATTTATATTTATATATTCGTTGCGTATCAAATATTCTAGGTTAACATTTTCATCAAACATCTTCATAAACGTATGTTTGAAGTCAAATATAATTGGAATATTGTCAAAACGGTACCTATGTATCAAAAATTGTAAGTTCATAAAATATTAACCCCCGAAATGAAAATTGAGTTTTCTTGCGGAAACTGTTTGGTTACAAATTGTTTGATGTCGGTTACAATTAGTTACTAAAAGGTTACTAGATTTTGGGATAGGTCCGGATTCGATAGGACAAAGTGGGGGG